GCTGTTTGTGGACCTTGGGCGGTTGTGGACTCTTGACTTGGGATTGTTAGCTTGCAAGGTAAGCTTTCGTGTCCTCGGATTGATCTGTTGTTTGTTCCACCGACCTCCATGGGAGGGTGGTTTATATGCATGTATGCTTTTATGAAAGATGAATATGCATTGATATATGCCTGAGATGTGTTAAATTAACTATCGAGGTAATGTATAAAAGTGGTGTTGATTTTACTTACACAATCAGACTTTGACTCTAGTGTGTAAGGCATGTAATGTATGAAAGTTATGTGATTACTTATACAATCAGACTGCGACTCTGGTGTGTAAGGCATAAGACTGCGACTCTTATGTTTAGATAGGTCGCAGATGTGTATAAACCATATCTTGTTCCCTGGCCAGTCGAACCGTGTAACACCCCGTGTATAACGATTTGTAAACATGTAATCGTATTAAGCCACGCTTAATTAAAAAAATGCGGAATATCTTTTTACTTTTCAATTATGACGTCATTATACTTAGCCAAGTTGATTACTTAATCATCTTTTTACTTCTCAACTTGCCTTGATGTTGTAAGTACTGCTGAAAGACAGATGGACTCTACTGTCAAGGATCAAACAGAACCACACACTCACCTCCACTCCATCATACACCACCTGGTCAACCAAGTGGAACAACCAAAGGATAGAAGAAACAAAAGTACTCAAAAATGAACAAAAAGGATAGAAGAAAGAAAAGTAAAGACAAAGGGGAACAACCATTCAAAAGACTTCAGAAAATATCAGAAAACCTTCCTCTAAAGGAGAAAAAAGGTACAAAAAAAGGTGTTCCCCCAAACCGAAAAAGTCCAAGTTCAAAAGCACAAAAGCAAACGTTCCTTGACCCCACAAGTCAGACCACCATTCTTCCACACTTCCATACACTCATCACCAAAGATCCTTGGGAGGGAAGGCAACTGTACTTCATAGGAAAGCAGCAGAAAGACAAGTCCTGAAGAATCACATCCAGGAATGGATAGAGCAAACACCAACCCTTGAGTGACAGTGAGATGAAAGATCAGCAACCTTCACTTATCTGGGGAAAGAATCCTCTTACTGTTTAACTATGAAGAGTAGCTCATTTGTTGAAAAGTTTATAATTACTCACTGGCTCAAGTTCCTTTCTGTTGAGCTATTCTTTGAAATTGGGCAGCCCAATACAATATTTCTGAGTTGTTTGAGGACAACCAACAGTTTAGTTTTGGGGTGTTTGATGGGACGTAAATTCATTCCCATATAAGCCCATTTTGATGGCAAAATACCACACGTTCCCTCATCTGATGAGCAACTTCAGCACGAAAATCACTTGTTTTACACATTTGTGACAAAAACACAGTGGGGGAACGCATGGTAACGTATTCCTTTAAAATATATTAAAAGGGGAACGGACTGAGACACATTTAATGCCTCTATAGTCTTTGCAGGTAATATGGAGTTAAAGTCTTCTAAAAGCAAGGCGGTGCACCAACTGAGCAGCTGGAAACGTGAAGAGCAGAGAATCAAGAGTTCTCATTGGCTGAAAAAGAAAGCAAGGCATGAGGCAGACTGCAAACAACGGCTAATCATCACCAAAACCTGTTCCATCCAGCAATTTGTGCAGTCTCCACACTCTGCTGCCACATTCCCGTCCCCTCATTCAAGCAACTTGCTCTAAAGGATTTACAAGACTTCCGCTCCTCTTCCATCTATAAATAGGAAGACCCACACACAAAAGCATCATCGAATCCTGTAGGGTTTGAAGTTCGAAAGGAAGAGATCACCTAGTAGTAGTAGTAGTTAGTAGCTTAGATTTATTTTAAGTTATAACTATAGTTAAGTGCAACCCCTCTTCTCTTCTCTGTATCAACCATTAAGACTCCTCACGAGCAATAACCCATTTTTCTCCATTTTACGTTTCTTCTGTAAACAGTCTTTTAAATTAATATAAGTGTTTTTCTCTTCGTTCCATTCGTTATCTGGTAACTGAATCTCGGGTCTATGGGACTTCAGTTGGGAATAATTATGTTTAAAATATCAGCCATGAGCTGAACTATCTGTGGAACGAGTAATCTGTGAAACTCTTAAAGAACTGTTTTCAAAACACTTGACTGAAGCTTTTTGTATTTCTTTGGCTAAGAGAGCTATATTCATTGTGTACCAATGGAAATTGGGCACATACTGAGAAAGGAACTTTCATAAGGAAGGGATTTCAGACAGCTTAGCCGTTGGGGGAAGGTAGTGTTATGGCAAAAACACTACTGGTCACCTTAGGAATAAAGGGCCAACTCGTCCATTTTAAGGTTCTGTACTAAGCACCTGTTGGAGTCAAGGGAGCCGTAGGAATATGGAAACTTGTGAGCCATCTAGTCCATGAGCTGAGGAATCAGAGTTGGCAGACAAGAAACTGGGATAAAGCCAAGAAGTGCTAAGTCTTGAGCAGAGAAAACAGCTATTTAAGAGTGAATCAGTGAATCTGTTCCTTCTGTTTAACGGTTATAAAACATCACCCTGTTGTCTCTTGATTATAGTTATTTCTACTTTAGTAGTTTTTTTTACTTTATATAATTATAACTATCAAATCCAATGATTATTATCTCACCTTCTTCTAAACAGGAAGGATTACATACATAACACAGCATGTAATTGTTTGCCAGCAGATTGAACCTACTGTTCTTGAGGAACGTTGTCAAGACAGTAGGGAACGTCTGACCAGACAGTTCATTTACTAACTTTTCTTCTCATTTTCATTCTTTATAAAACAGTGTAAGACAATAATTAGGATTCTATCCTCGTGGGAACGATAATTTGGGCATTAATACTCCCTTTATTACTTGATGCGTGCACTTGCGCACTTGGGTTGGAACAAAGGGAACGAATCTGTGTTCTGCAAGAACAGAAGAACATCCTCTATTAGAACTTATAATTTTCCACCATCAGCAAACCACCCAACAAGTTTTTGGCGCCGTTGCCGGTGATAGAAACACTAAATTTTGCTCTTATTTACTGTTTTTAGTACATATTCTGTATATCTGACCTTACCTTTATATTTGTCTTTATGTCACTAATACTGTTGTGCATATATAACTTGTGTTTATAGTTTATGAGTGAAGAGTTTGAAACAAACTCTGACCACTCCATTGAAGTACCTGAGTTTTTCTTTGATCCTGAACCAGAACGTACACATCATAGGAGAAGAAGAATCCTCAGGGAAGAAATTCTTGAAAACATGGCTGATCATAATAATAACAATGAAGAAGTTCCTCCTGAACAAAACTTCAGAACTTTGGCTGCTCCTTTCAGGAACAGACCAGACAAGGGAGTAATCCCCCCTCCTGTAGCACCAACTTTGAACTGAAACCTATCATGTTTCACATGATTAGGGAAGCATGGGTCATCAATGAACTCCCTGCAGAAGATCCTTACACACACCTCACAACATTTCAAGATATCTGTGATAATTTTAAAGCTGAGGGTATGACAGAGGAGAGCATGAGAATGAGGTTGTTCCCTCACTCCTTAAGATTAAAGGCAAAAACATAGATGAAAACTCTCACCCCTAGATCAATCCACACACGGGAGGAGCTCTTTAACAAGTTCATAGAGAGGTTTCTTCCAATGTCCCGACAAGATGATGTTAGAGGAGAAATCTCTAACTTCAGAATGTTTTATGGAGAAAACCTCTATGAAGCCTGGGAGAGATACAAGGACATCATCAGAAAATGTCCAAACCATGGGGTAGAGAGTTGGGGAGTGTTACAATCTTTCTATAAGGGACTTGACCATACTTCTCAATCTCACTTAGATTTTGCTGCAGGAGGATATTTCTTTACAGGAACACTGGAATCAAGGTACGAAATCATAGTAGGAACTGCTGAAAGATGTCTCCAATGGCCAATAGACAGAGTAAGCCCAGTAAGGAAGCCAGGCATGCTAGAACTGGATAAACAAACTGCCATGGAAGCCCAGTTGGCATCACTCATGAATGAAGTGAAGAACCTGAAAGCTGACCAAGCAGCACCAAGGATGGAAGTCTTGCAACTCACAACAGCTGAAACTGAACCATCCACTGCATTGGTGTGTTATTCAAATTTTTTTGCATAAAGTGCATTGGTGTGTTATGCTCAGCCTGTGGTGACCTTCATGACTCAACAGACTGCCCATCCACTGCATTGATGTGTTATGCAAAAAATTTTGGCAACAGGAACTTCACCAGAGACAATCAACAAGCAGGACACAGTACAAATTCAAATCCTGGAGGAACTATCATTAAGGATCAGAACCACAACACCCAATAGAGGCCACCCATGAACCAAAGACCATTCAACACCCAGCAACAGTATCAGCAAGGCAACAGCAGTGGAACGTTTGAACAAAGGAGAAACAACTACGTTCCATTCCACAGAGATGACCAATGCATCAACACCCTGGAAAATTATGTCAAGGAATGTGTCACCAGGAATGATGCAGTGGTCAGGAACATTGAATCCCATCTGGGACAGATTGCTGCCAATCTCCAAACCAGAACACCAGGATCACTATCAGGGAATACTAACGTTCCCTCAACAACCTCACCAAAAGAGGCACTTACTTCCCCTTCAGAGCACATTAAGGCTGTCACCCTAAGAAGTGGGAAAGCTACTGCACCACCCACGACTTTGTCAAGAGAAAAAGGACAGACTAAAGCATCTGAAGCAGCTTCAAAAACACAACACCTAGAGCATGAAAAGGAGGACGAAGCCAAAGAAGACCAAGTGGACAACAGTCAACCAATCAGTCCAACCCAAAAGAGGCCAATACCAAAATAAATTCGTTTCCTCAGAGAACAAAGAAGCAACAGGAAGATAAGTAGTTTGGTAAGTTCCTGGACATCTTAAAACAACTACACATCAACATCCCTCTGGTGGACGCACTAGAACAAATACCCAGGTACGTAAAATTCATGAAAGATGTTCTCTAAAAAAAAAAGAGATAACAGAATATGAGATTGTAAAAATGACACAAGAAAGTTGCCAGTATCTAGGCAAACTTCCACCTAAGCTTCAAGATCCAGGAAGCTTCACCATTCCCTGCGTTATAGGAAACACATACCAAGGGAAAGCCTTGTGTGATTTAGGGGCTAACATCAATCTCATGCCTCTATCTGTCTTCAAACAATTATCCACTGGACCAGCTGACCCAACCACGGTAACCTTACAAATGGCAGACAGATCCATTGTCAAACCAGAAGGGAACATTGAAGATCTGCTAGTCAAAGTGGACAAATTCATCTTGCTCGCTGATTTCATCATCTTGGATTATGAAGCTAATATTGACGTTCCCATCATTCTAGGTAGACCGTTCCTAGCAACTGGAGGAGTAGTCATCAATGTACAAAAGGGGAACTAACCATGAAAGTACATGATGATGAAATCAAATTCAACGTCGTTAAGGAAATGAAGTTCCAGGACGAAGGTGAAGATTTGGAAGAATGTTCAGCCCTCACTGTGTTAGATAACCAGTTCAGCATAAAAATAGAAGGGGAAGAATATGAGGAGGAAGAAGAAGGTCCACAACAAGGGGAGCAGAGTTGCTATCTGCAAGAAAGAATGCCTGAACCTTTGATAAGAACTGAAAAAGAAAAACAACCTAAAAGACCTTCATCAAAAAAACCTCCTGACCTAGAACTAAAGCCTCTTCCCCAACACCTGAAGTATGCCTACCTAGGGGACGATAACACCTTTCCTGTGATCATTTCTTCATTTCTTACCAAAGAACAAGAAGAACTGCTGCTTAACAAACTCAAAAAGTACCAAGTAGCCATCGGCTGGACCATAGCAGATCTCAAAGGTATCAGTCCCTCATTCTGTATGCATAAAATATTATTGACTAACCCTAACAGTTTTTCAGTGGAACACCAAAGAAGACTGAACCCTATAATAAAGGAAGTGGTAAGAAAGGAAGTCATCAAATGGCTAGATGCAGGGATCATATATCCAATATCTGACAGCAGCTGGGTAAGTCCTGTCCAATGCATCCCCAAAAAGGGAGGCATAACAGTAGAGGTAAATGAAAAAAATGAGCTAATACCTGTGAGAAAGGTTACAAGATGGAGAATTTGCCAAGATTATAGAAAGCTCAACAATGCCACTAGAAAAGACCACTTCCCACTCCCGTTCACAGATCAGATGCTGGATCATCTAGCAGGAAAGGAATACTTCTGCTTCCTTGATGGATATTCGGGGTATAATCAGATTGCTCTAGCACCAGAAGATCAACATAAGACCACTTTCACTTGCCCATATGGAACGTTCGCCTTCAGAAGGATGCCCTTCGGGTTATGTAACGCACCAGCAACGTTCCAGAGGTGTATGTTCTCAATTTTTTATGATCTGATAGGAGAAGGAGTAGAAGTCTTTATGGATGACTTTTTTGTGCTGGGAACGTCATATAACCACTGCTTGGACAATTTAGAAAAAATTCTCCAAAGATGTCTTTCCTCTAATCTAGTGCTTAATTGGGAAAAATGCCATTTCATGGTGAAGGAAGGAATAGTCCTGGGAAATAAGATTTCCAGCAAAGGACTAGAAGTGGATCAAGCCAAAGTAGAAGCCATAGCAAAAAATGCCACCACCAGTAAATGTAAAAACACTGAGATCTTTTCTTGGGCATGCAGGCTTCTACAAAAGGTTTATTAAAGATTTTTCCAAAATAGCTAGACCCTTGTGTCACTTGTTAGAAAAAGATAAGAAATTTGAGTTTAACTCTGATTGCTTGAAAGATTTTGAATCCTTGCAAAACAAGCTCATTACCACACCTGTCATCCAACTTCCAGACTGGAACTTACCCTTTGAACTAATGTGTGATGCAAGTGATCATGCTATTGGGGTAGTTCTGGGCCAGAGGAAGGACAAACTTTTTCCTAGCATATACTACGCTAGTAAAACTTTGAATGAAGCTCAGATGAATTACACAGTCACTGAAAAAAAGCTGTTGGCTGTAGTATATGCCTGCGAAAAATTCAGGCCATACATTTTAGGATAAAAAATTATTGTGCATACTGACCATGCAGCTCTCAAATATCTTTTCTCAAAAAAAGAAGAAAAACCAAGATTGATCAGATGGTTCTTACTGCTGCAAGAATTCAATCTGGAGATCAAAGAAATGAAAGGGTGTGAAAACCAAATTGCAGATCACCTGTCTAGATTAGAACACATTAAAGTAGGGCTACCCATCAAGGAGACGTTCCCAGATGCGCAATTGTTTGGCATCAATCATATAGAAGCAGACGTTCTTTGGTTTGCTGATATAGCCAACTTCCTTGCAGCAGGACTAGAACCTTACGAGGCAAACAGAATGCAGAAGAAAAAAATATTTCATGATTGCAGGAACTATCTCTGGGATGAACTATTCCTGTTCAAAAGATGTGCAGACCAAATGATAAGGAGGTGCATCCCAGAAGAAGAACAACCGCAAATCCTTCTACACTGCCATTCGTCCTCATATGGAGGTCATCTAGGTGGAATCATGACTGCCTCCAAGGTTCTTCAATCAGGTTTTTTCTGGCCCTCCCTCTTTAAAGATGCACTCCAATATGCAAAAAATTGTGCTAAATGTTAAAGGGAGGGTAACCTAACTAGACAAAATGAGATGCCTCTCTACCCAATTCTAGAAGTTGAATTATTTGATTGATTTCATGGGATCTTTCCCTCCTTCTTGTGAGAACAGATTCATATTAATGGCTGTAGATTATGTAAGTAAGTGGGTAGAAGCAGTTGCTTTACCCACTAATGATGCTAAGGTGGTCATTAAGTTTCTAAAGAAGAACATCTTAACCAGATATGGGACCCCATGTTGTCTCATCAGCGATGAGGGGAAACATTTCATCAAACGCTAACTTGAGAGGCTGTTGGAGAAATATGGAGTCAAACACAAGGTTGCAACTCCATATCATCCACAAACCAGTGGTCTCATTGAAGTCTCTAACCGAGAGGTTAAGAGAATTTTAGAGAAGGTAGTCAACCTTTCTCGAAAAGACTGGTCTCTCAAGTTAGATGAAGCATTATAGGCTTACAGAATTGCATATAGAACACCCTTAGGATGTTCTCCATGCAGACTGATATTTGGAAAAGCATGCCACCTTCCCCTCGAACTGGAACACAAAGCTTACTGGGCATTCCATGCCCTCAATATGGATGAAAAGGCAGCAGGAGAAAAGAGACTGCTACAACTTGAAGAATTGGAAGAATTCAGAGGGAACACGTATGAAAATCATAAATTATATAAGGAGAAGATGAAGAAGTGGCATGATAAAAGGATCAGAAACAGAGATCTCAAAAATGGCCAGAAAGTGCTACTCTTCAATTTTAGACTCAAACTGTTTCCAGGAAAACTCAAATCAAGGTGGACTGGACTATATCAAATTGTAAATGATGCAGGAAATGGAGCTTTTGAGATCTAAGGCTCCGAACATGGTCGTTCCTTCAAAGTAAATGGACACAGGTTGAAGCTATACAATGATGAGACTTTCGAGGAAAAAGAGGAGTGTATCCCTCTCTCTGAATCCACTTAAGAGGTATATAATAACCCTTACTAGTAATGGTGGATTTAATATTGAAGAATAATTAGAAGTAAAAGAAATAAAGTCACCTTTGGTGAAAAAGGAGTTAAAATGACAGTTAAGGAGTAAAAATGCAGGTAAATAAAGTTACCCGAAAGTAAAAAGTAAAATTATAAATATTACCATAAAAATATTCTGGACTAGTATACAAAGTTTGGTAGGGAATAGAGATGTGTAGATAGGTAAGCTGTTACCCAGTTAAAGAGTAACTTCAAATAAAAGCCTTAAGAAACCCGTAAGCTTTCATTTCTTCCTCTCCGTGCGCGTTGGTTACTGTCATTTTTTTTCCTTAGAAGCCAACGTAGGGTTTCATCTTTTCTTCCTTCCATTCTCACTCATTTGGTCACCAAAAGTCATGATGCCATACATGAAAATTGTAGAAAAAAGGCTAGTGAATCCATTCCACCACTCTATTTGGGCTGATTTGGCTTGTGGAGAGAGTTATTCATCACCCCTAATTCGTGGCACTATTCATCCTTGTGAAACAGTGGGGCTTTTGAGTGAGCAAAGCTTAGGTTTTGTTCTTTGGAGCTTGGAATAGCAACTATAGGTAAGAAACCTCTAATTCTATGGTTCTATGTTTGTGATTTAAGTCTTGATAATTGTGAGCATATTTTGGTAGAAAATAATTTAGTTTGAATTGGAAATTGATGATGAATTGTTGTTCGTAGTAGTTGAAAAGTTATTGAGAATGGATGTTGAAATTTGAGAAAATGGATGGCCTACCTCTCATGTATAATTCAACCTATATACAATAAAAGGGGTAGACCAAGTGTTTGATGAAATGCCAAAGTGAAAATAATACCTTGTATGTAATTACTGATAAGTGGTGTGAATTAGGATTGGTAAAAGTGATGAAAGTTAAAGAAAAAGACATTGTTCCTATATATATGTATTCTGGCCAAGAGGAAAAGAACAAGGAATATCATGCTTTAATATGTTTGAATGTGTGTTTATGTATCTTGAGGTTGGTTAATGATTATCTACTTAATTGGAGTTATGTGAAGTGAGAAATAAAGGAAAGAAAAACATGAGAAAAAAAATGATAAACACTTATGAGTGAAATCTGCCCTCATCCTTAAATAGGTACAAATGAGGTATTTGGTGATATTTAAATAAGAGATGATGATGGATATTCAATGTAGTGATGAAGGGAATGGTTGCTAACAAAAGATAGCTTGAGAAAAAGTCATGAACATAAAGAAGTAAATGGGTTGGAATTGTATTGGACTTGGAATTATGATTTGTAAGTTATGTTGAGGACATGTTAAGTCCATGTAAAGTGAGAAATGCCCCCTAAGAGTTAGTGGTTTTATTCTAACTAGCTTTGGGGTTCTATATGTAAGTTTGAAAGGAATTAGTATATGACTTGTGTATTGGCATAGATTTAGCATAAACGTAAAGAAACGAAAATAAACGATAAAATGTATGCCTTATGTAAAATCTAGGCATGATAGCATTTTATTGATTTGTATTTTTGTATTCTTTCTCTAGGTGTACCTAGGGACTGAAAAAGATCGGAACCTTCTTGAAGATATATAAGTAACTTGTGCCACAAGTAAGCGGATTGAAAAAGCTTCAAGAGGTAAGCTCTATGTTTATGGGGTTCGCTCCTACTTTGTGTTCCGCCATAGTGTACGGACTGTGGTCAGGTTGTATGAGATATATGATATAGATGCATTCATATAGAGCTATATGATAATATGATATGTTTTGTTTTGATGTATTTACTTTGATATGTGTTAATATGATATGTTTTGTTATGATATGACTTCTGTAATATGATTTC